GCAAAGGGAATGGGCGGCCGTCATTTTGTTTCCCCCCTGTTTTTTTGTTTTGACGCGTCGTTGTTTTTCTTCCCCCCGCCCCCCCCTTCCGGCCCCCCTTTTCTTTTTCGTTTCCACACGTCGTCGTTTTCTGCCCACCCTTTTTTTTCGTTTTCACTTCCTCGTTCTGTCCCCCATCCTGCGTCGTCGTTTCCCGCTCAGCGGTTTCGTCGTTTTGCCTCCTCCATCCAAGAAGAAAAGGACGAGCAGGCGGCCGGCAGACAAGAAGTAAAAAAAAAGAAAATTGTTTCGCCTCCCCCTTCCGAAAAGAAAAGGACGAGCAGCTGGCTGGCAGACAAGAACGACAAAAAGGCAGAAAAGAGAAGCAGCTGACTGCACCAACCCACCCACCCACCCACAAGCATGCATGCGGACCCAGTCTACCCGAACGGTTATCTCATCGTGCACTTGGGTACCTCAAATCTGTGTGTGATCTACCCTTTTTTTGGTACCCTGCAGAAGGGCTTGCGGAGTTTGTTAGCTCGCTCAGGGAGTACTTGCACTTTCCTGACCGTATGATGTGTCTGGTCGCAATTCCACACCAGATTCAATTGAGAAAGTTCCAGGGGCCAATGCCTGGCTACTAAGATAGAGATATTTCTGATAGCGATGGCATGTTTGCGAAGTGGTCGTGTTGTTCGCATATTTGCTCACAATAGGAAGGAGCTCTTTTTTGTCGAACAACATTGCTTCTGTGCTCGCGATAAGGAAAGGAGCTAACTCTAAAGAATCAGCCTCAATGGAAAGGGGGAGCTGTGGCAGATGACTTAACCCTGGCCTGTCTGAATTCTCGTTCTAATCTGATGACACTGAGGAAAACTCTAAATACTTACTGTGAACTCTTGGAGGCCTCCATCAATTGGAATAAATCTGTGTATTTTCTGCCTGAATCCTTCTCTTTGAATGTGAATTGGGGACTGAGGAAAGTGCCTGCGGACTCGTCAGATCGTTTCTTGGGGGTACTAGTGTCCTTGTCGGATAATTCAGGGTTTCAGGACTCAGTTCTGCAAGAAAAAGTGGCTAATCGTCTGATGTCATGGAGCTCCTTGCGTCATCTATCCCTCCTGGGGAGGGCCCTGGTTATTAATTTGGCAGCGTTCTCTGTTCTTTGGTATTCTTTGGCTGTCCATCTTTTGGGAGACGAACCTTATAAGAAGATTAGGAAGTCGGCTGCTAGGGTTTTGTGGAAACCAGAAGGCAATCCACAAAGCGGGTTCTTGTCAAAGATAGCCTGGGAAACTATTACGTTCCCTAGGGATAAAGGAGGTTTGGGAATTCTAGACCCCCGTCAGCAGAATTTTGCCCTGTTGGTGAAATGGCCAATTAAAGCCTTGCTTTCCTATGAATTTGCGCCATGGCTTCGCCTTGCCCTGCATATTCTGCAGGATGAATGGGAGTTCGCCAGGGAGGAGGACGTCTTAGCATGTTTTCTAATAAAGTCTTATGTTCAGAAGCAGCCGCAGTCTAATTTTTGGAAGGTATTCTTTTGGCTTGGAGAAAGTTGTTCCCTACAGTCAGAGAGTACCCTCAGTCTAAAGAGGCTGTCTTGAACCAGATTATCTTTGAAAATCCATTGATTAGGGACTCGCAGGGTGAGGAGTTTTCAGCAAGAGTTGCAGCTGGATGTTTTGGCAGGGCTTGGATTGGGAGAGGGGTCGTAAGGTTAGCTGATTTGTGGGATTCCCGCAAAGGAGACTGGTGATCGGAGGAAGAACTCAAGCTGAAACTGTATAGACTGCGCCAGGCCTCTACTAGGCTAAGAGAACCTCAACAGGTGTAATCAGACTCGTTCTCAAACACACTTTTCATGCATGTAAACAGCAACGCAGCTGCATCTACCCTATCGCTATGCTAACTCCCTCTCTCTAGCCCATTGCGTCCTCCGGGCTCATCTGCAGACCTCCTTGCACAAGTCGCTGTGGCAGCGCTTCTGCATGGCTCACGCAGGAATGAATGAATGGCTGGGCGCTGCCTCTTGATTTATACTTCAGAAATTCGTTGGTCTGCCCTTTGCCATCGGCCCTTGGTGCTCACAGTCCCCCTGTGGTACTTGCTGGACTGGACTGG